ATGTCATGGCATAGAGAGTAAGGGGCTAGGATGCCTCTTCTGGCATTACTTTGCCTGTTCCCCCCCCCCCACCCCGGGAGTCTCTGTCTCATGAGAAGCTGATGCCTCCACAGGCTGGGGCCCTGGCCCCTCTTTATAAGCCCCCGAGTCTCTTTGAAATGAGCTTTTGGTTATCTCCAGGCAGTTGATTATAGTGAGGGCTGCCTGGAGTGCAGGAGCCCAGGCTGCCCTTTTCTGGAAGGCTCCCCAGCCAGCGCAGAGCTGAGTGACTGAGCTTTCCTGGAGTACGACGGCAGGGAGGGTGTCAGAGATTCCACAGATGAGTCTGAGCTTTGAGTCAGTTCACACAATTGTACTGCGCATATATGGACTGCATGGTTTGCTAGACGTTGCCTTGGTGCCAGGTTGATGGTCATGCCAGAGTCAAGGCTGATGGTCAGGCTGTAACTCTGAAGCGGAGCTGGGGCCTATCTCCCCCATGGTCCTTTTTGCAGCTGGACTGTCTGCAATCTCACAATTCAGTCATTGGTGCTGCCAGACGTGGGAAGCTTTGGGGCCTTTCAAGCTTCAGTTCGACTCTCCATTTTATAGATGAAGAAATTGAGACCTGCCGGAGAGACAGCACAGTGGATAGAGCACTTGCCTTTAATGTTGCTGACCTGGATTCGATCTCTGGCATCCCATCTGGTCCCCCGAGCACGCCAGGAGTCATTCCTGAGTGCAGAGCCAGGAGGAACCCTTGAGCACCAATGGGTGTGGCCCCCAAACCAAGTATCAAACAAAAAAGATTCAAAACCACCGTTCTAAGGGTCAAAGGATAGTCCAGCAGATGGAGCATTTCCTTGCATGCTGTCAACCCAGGCTTGATTCCTGGCATCCCATATAGTCCCCATTCACTGCCAGGAGTAATTCTTGAGTGCAGCGCCAGGAGTAACCCCTGAGCATCTCTGGATATGACCCAAAATGCCAAAAATAAATAAATAAATAAATAAATAAATAAACAAAATCCCAAAACAGACAAATAAAAAACTAAAACCCAGGAAACTCATCCACATGACCAAAATTTGCCTCATATTTGTGCTCTGCTGAGAGACCCTGGGTAGTATTGAGAAGTGGGAAATTTTATATAATTTTATATATCTTCAGGCAATTTATCCCAGTTATAAGCAGACTCAGCATGAGAATGAGACATAAAAACATATTTGTTTTTATTGGGGGGCTGCGCTGCAGAGGCCACACCCAGATGTTCTCAGGGCTTACTCCTAGCTCTGCACTCAGGGAACTGTAGGCGGTACCAGGGATGGACCTGGGTTGTTAATGAAAAGCAAGTGTTTCACTCTCTATCCTCTCTCTTCAACCCCTATTTTGATTTTATTTTTTCATAGACAGACTTGATCTGCCAATTTAATCAGGAGAAATGTGAAGTGCTGACATCAGACTTTTTCTCCTAATTGCTTCTCGTTTTCTTCTCTGCTTATTGCTCCCCCACTAACACCTCGGGGCCATCTACACTCTCACACATATATCTACACATTTACACTCTCCCCGCAGAAGCCTGTTCCTGCTCCTTGCTCTGGGAACATGTTAACAGGTTAGGTCCAAGGGGGCTTTGGGGAAAGGAGCCTCCAAGGGCCACCAAAGATCTGGGGATCTAGGGATGGGGATCTAGGGACGGAGCTTGGGCCTTCAGGAGTTAATGAAGGAACAAAACAAAGGGCCATAGCTCCCTGACATCCCCTTCCCACCACCACCACACACACACACACACACACACACACACACACACACACACACACGGGGCCACTCCAGAGAGACTCAGCTGCAGGGCCTGTAGGTTCAATGTTCAGGGGTCACTTGAGTCACCAGTGTTTCAAGGGGTGGAGGATATGCTGGGCTAAGGATCACACTTAGGGCCTCACGCATGCTAAGCATGTGCTCTGCCACTTGAGCAGTGCCACTTGAGTGACTTAGAGCAGAAAAAGAAAAAGTTTTACTTTTGCTTTTTCTTAAAAAAAAAAAAAACACAAACGGTGATGCTCTGGGGCAACTCTTGGTTTGGTGCGCAGTAGTTGCCCCCAGACCAGGGATTCAACGTGGACCTCCCTCATAAGATATAAGCACTTTTGAGTCATCTCTGTGGCTTAGAACTGTGATTTCTTTTTTGGTTTGTTTATGTCTTTGTCCACGCCTGGAAGATCTCAGGGACTACTTACGGCTCTGCTGGAAGATTGTTCCTGGTAGCACTCAAGGGCCATTGGTGTCAGGGATCAAACTTGGGTCTCTCATATGCAAAACATGACTCTGTGGGTCAGTCCATCAAACTATCTTCCTGGACCCCACGAGGACCATTTAATTGTTGTTGTTGCTGTTGTTTTTCAGTCATATTCAGTGGTGCTTAAGATCTATACCTGCCTCTGAGTTTGGGGTTTCTCCTGGTGGTACTCAGTGTGTTGGGATCGGGAGTTCCCTGGCCCTGGGAGGCGCGGAGAGACCAGATAGACACAATTCCTGCAGGAGTAAAAACGGGGTTTATTTAGACCAGCATGCTGGGGCTCCGCAGCATACCCCAAAAATGGGCAGTGGCTGAGAGCCCTGAACTTCTTCAAAGGGGATCTTATATAGGCCTTCACTGGCCGTTACAGCAAAGCCCGCGCATTTCATAGCCAATAGATTTGTAACAACATATACTTTCTTAACCAATCCATTTAAAAGTACCTCACTCCTTAGCCTATAGATTCAAAGATCAGCATTTACGTACATCGATTGTCAGCACAAGCAAGGTTATAGCTGGAATCATTAAGCCTTAGGTAATCTCCCTTGACCATCCTCGTTTTGTGTTACCCAAGTCTGCAGGGTGCTTTAGTGAGACAATACATTCCAGGAAAGGGCAATTTCCCCCAACCACCAGCATCCTGAGTTAGCCTTTACCCAAATCTGCAGGGTGCTTTACTGAGACAATACATTTCAGGGACAGTAAATACACCTGAATCTTGTAGAAAGAAGTTATGCCCTGTTCACTTTGCAAGTCCCCTCTCCCCCAGGTGCAAAGCAGCCAAGCAGTTTTACAGAAAGCAATGTTGCAAGTTAGCTAAAGTACACAAAAATTTGATGCCCTAATATGGATTCTTTCAAGTGAACCATGTGGCACCAGGAATTGAACCCAAACCTGCTGCATGCAAATCACGTGCTCGACCAGTTAGGTGCTCTCTCTCCATACCAGAAAGGCAGTTTTATTTATTTATTTGCTTGTTTGTTCATTTATTTTGGAAATAGGTAAGCTCTGCGGTATTCAGGCCCTACTCTTGGCTCGGTGCTCAGTGAACAATCCTGGCAGTGCCTGGGGACCATATGGCATGGCAGGAATTGAATCCGGGTCAGCTTCATGCAAGGTGAATGCCCTACCTGCTGAATTATCGCTCTGGCCCTGTGATTTTAAAGTTTTAAATGTCTTTGGGGGTAGTGGAAGGGGGGCAAATTGAACCCCCAGCTTTCTTCAAGCTTTTAAATTTCACTGCCTCTTCTCAACCTTCCTCCAGTGGCATTTCTGTCAGAAGTGATCAAAGGAGAGTCTGTCCCCTTTTCAGTGCTAGTCCCAAAGCAGTGACAAAGAGCCATTCTTAGAGGTGGTTCAAATGCAGTGACTCTTGACTGAATAACACCTACCTGCTGCACCTCCGTGGAGGGCACCTGCCAGCACAGCATGGCATGGACGGGGGTGGGGCTAGAACACTGGCATTAGGGCCACATGTCACCCTAACTGTGCCACTGTTGAGCAGTGTGAGTTTTGGTAAGTTACTCACCCTCTTTCTGCCTGAAGTTGTTTCCTTGGGCCATACCTAGTGATGCTCTAGCCTTACTCCTGGCTCTGTGCTCAGGGTTCACTCCTGGTGGGACTCGGGGGACGATATGTATTAACTGGGATTGAACCCAGGTCAGCAAGTACTATCTCTCCAGCCCTTGTTCTGTGTTTGAGGCCAGTGGTGTCTGGGAGTCAATCCTGGTGGTGCTTCAGGGAGCAGACATGGGGACTGGACCTTGGGCTTCCACATGCAAAGTCTGGTTTGCATATACTTAGCCCTTTGAACTGTCTCTCTGACCTCTAGGTTTCAGGTTTTCTTTGGCAGGGCAGGGTGCACTTTGGGGCTGTACCCATCTGTGCTCAGGGCTTTCTCCTGGTTCTGTGTTTAATAGTTACTCCTGGCAGGGTGCTCAGGAATCTTATGTGGTGCCGAAGATCAAACTAGACTAAGACACATACTGTGAAAATACCTGGGATCAAACCAGAGTCGGACACATGCAACCACAGTCTTCCCCTCTCTCTTTGACCCTAGGCTTCGGTTTTATTGATTGCAGAACGTGGTGAGAATAATACCTACCTCCTAGGGTTGTGTGAAGTCTAAAACTAGTTCATCTTTGTCAACTGCTTACAACAGCATGTGGAAAGTCCCATATATAAACGTTATTATCATCAGCATTGTTGTTCATAAATCTCACAGGATCCTCCTGATACAGTTGTGAAGTCAGCTTTTTCCCTTTCTTTTACAGATGGCCGTATGAGCAGCCTGAAAGATCAGAAGTCACAGAGTGAGTCGTTGTTTGGATCTGGGACGAGAAACCAACACTGTGCTCCTTCTGCTCCCTGCCAGCTTCTGTGTTCTGAGGTGATGGGAAGTCAGGAACTCACATAAGCCACCTTGAAACTGGGGCACTGTTCCGAAGCTCAGTCGGACTCTGTGAAAGGGAGAGAGAGGCTTCCGAAGCTCTGGATCACAGTCCCTGAAAGGGAAGTGGGGTCTGGCGAAGAGAAGGAAGGAAGCGGAATGGGAGGCAGACATCTCTTAGAAGATGGGGTGCTGAGAGTTTGAGGCTCCCATCTGGCTCCTGATTGGCCCAGCTGCCAAGTTGCACCCTGACCAGTGCTTCCTCCCTCCGGAAAGATGAGCTGCTGAGCCCTCAGCTTCTGGTCTGGTGCCCTGAAGGCTCTGACAAGAGGCCCCTTACGCCGCCTCTGACCTCTCCCCTCCTCCCAGATTGGGAAGCCTGGGCCTGGGCTGGCCACCTCAGGGTCACTGGACTAGGATGGGGGATGGGCCTGTGACAGGAGGTGCCCTGGGTGTCCTCTTTCGGCCCCATGGAGTCCTCACCCAGCCCCCAATCATCAGGGAACTCTTCTACTTTGGGGAAGGTCCCTCAAACCCCAGGTCCTTCAACTGCCAGTGGGGTCCCCGAAGTGGGACTGCGGGACGTGGCTTCGGAATCTGTGACCCTCTTCTTCATGCTCCTGCTGGACTTGACTGCCGTGGCCGGCAATGCCGCTGTGATGGCCGTCATCGCCAAGACACCAGCCCTCCGCAAATTCGTCTTCGTCTTCCACCTCTGCCTGGTGGACCTGCTGGCCGCCCTGACCCTCATGCCTCTGGCCATGCTCTCCAGCTCCGCCCTCTTTGACCATGACCTCTTCGGCGAGGTGGCCTGCCGCCTCTACCTGTTCCTGAGTGTCTGCTTTGTCAGTCTGGCCATTCTCTCAGTGTCAGCCATCAACGTGGAGCGCTACTACTACGTGGTCCACCCCATGCGCTACGAGGTGCGCATGACTCTCGGGCTGGTGGCCTCTGTGCTGGTGGGCGTGTGGGTGAAGGCGCTGGCGATGGCTTCCGTGCCTGTGTTGGGAAGGGTCTCCTGGGAGGAGGGAGCTCCCAGCGCCCCCCCGGGCTGCTCACTCCAATGGAGCCACAGTGCCTACTGTCAGCTTTTCGTGGTGGTCTTTGCCGTTCTGTACTTCCTATTGCCCCTGATCCTCATCCTTGTGGTCTACTGCAGCATGTTCCGAGTGGCCCGCGTGGCTGCCATGCAACACGGGCCCCTGCCCACGTGGATGGAGACGCCCCGCCAACGCTCCGAGTCTCTCAGCAGCCGCTCCACCATGGTCACCAGCTCGGGGGCCCCTCAGACAACCCCACACCGAACGTTTGGGGGAGGGAAAGCGGCAGTGATCCTCCTGGCTGTGGGGGGCCAGTTTCTGCTCTGCTGGTTGCCCTACTTTTCTTTCCACCTTTATGTGGCCCTGAGTGCTCAGCCCATTTCCATGGGGCAGGTAGAGAGTGTGGTGACCTGGATTGGCTACTTCTGCTTCACTTCTAACCCCTTCTTCTACGGGTGTCTCAACCGGCAGATTCGCGGGGAGCTCAGCAAACAGTTCGTCTGCTTCTTCAAGCCTGCTCCAGAGGAAGAGCTGAGGTTGCCCAGCAGGGAGGGCTCCATCGAGGAGAACTTCCTGCAGTTCCTTCAGGGGACGGGCTGTCCCAACAATGAGTCCTGGGTTCCCCGACCACTCCCCAGCCCCAAGCAGGAGCCACCTGCTGTTGACTTTCGAATTCCAGGCCAGATAGCAGAGGAGACCTCTGAGTTTCTGGAGCAGCAACTCACCAGCGACATCATGTCGGACAGCTACCTCCATCCTGCCCCCTCACCCCGACTTGAGTCATGATAGACTGTCAGATTCTCAGAGGGAGATGGAACTGGTAGCCAGTTAGGGCTGCAAGGACCACCTCATAGGAGCATCATTTCCCAGCTTGTTGGGGCTGGGCCTAGGTTCTCTGTACAGCGCTTTGACATAGTGTTTTCTGGGTCAGGAAGAAGATGAACATGTGGCCTGGACCTGGCTGTGATTCTTGACTACTGGGTTTTGGTGAGCTGGAGATGAGAGTAAAAGGTCACAAAACTGAGACAATGGTACTCAGTCACAGCACTTTAAATGTCTCAGGGAGCAGGGAAACTCTAAGCATAGGAGTTGGAGCGTATAGGGTGACAGGAAAGGCTGGGAGTTATTCCTGGGATGCTCGGATACTTCTTTTCTCAGTGTAATGGTCCAGGGAAGTAATTGCACCCAAGCAAGGTAAAAACATGACTCATGTTTTCTTGTTTCCTTGCTGGTTTTAAAATGAATTTGATTACAGCCCAAGTGTTTCCATTTGAGTTAATAGATCCTTTTCCTAGATTTAGACCTGAGAGCTCCTTGAGGTGCGAGGACCAGCTGTGTCTGTTCCTTCCCTGAGTTTGGCCGGGAGCAAGGGGAAGTAGCGATCAGGCTCCACAGAGGAGAGAAAAGCTGGCTGCAGTGCTCGCTCTTTCACTCTCCAGGAACAGCCCTTCTGTTCCAGTTTTCTGCCTTTTCTCCTACATGTGGAGATCAGCATTGGCTTGAGATCAGCAGCAACAAGAATAAAGTGGGATGGCCCTTTCTCTTTGGCGTTTAGGATGAAGGGAGTATAGAGAAGGGAAGTGTGATGGACGAAGGAGATTACACTTGGAATTGCTAAAGAGGCTGGCTACAGAGAAGCCGGGTAATTTCCCTGACATAATATTGCAAATATTCCTCCCCTCCCCCACCACCTCCCTCTAGGACTGACCTTCCCAATCTCTCTTCATTGCAGACTCACCTCTAGCCCCTTGGATAAATTGGGTATAGGAAACTAAGGGTTGGGTATAGGAAGTATGCGGTTACCATAGTCCACTAAATGCCTCCCTTCTTTCCATTCCTTGCTCTCAAAATTAGCTTTGATATTGACAAAGACCTAAAACTTCTCTCCTATCAGCACCCCTGATTTGGAGAATGCACAGGAATTGGTCTTGGTTGTTCACTCACTGAGCCTGCAGAACCTTTGTTGGTTAGTAGAAGTTATTTATGAACTAGGGGAATAACTGCAGTCTCTGGACAGGCCACTATCCAAGCCACTTCCCTTAATTGAATCAGGTATCATTTATGGTTTAAGGCAGGACCAGAGGGTGGTGTGGCTTGTAATTGAACAAATTTTTGATTTATCGAATATCAAAGGGGAAGATGGGCTGATGGGAATGGAATAGTTTCCCCTTTGAACAGCCAATAAATACTTTGTTATAAAAAGTCATCCTGTATCAGCATTGACTCTTTTAATCTAGTACAAAATAGTTGAATACCCAATATTCTCTGGGACCCACACAGAAGATTATGGTCATTGCTCTCAGGAGTTCATAGTAGAATTTTATCAGATGCCTTGCTTTTTTTTTTTTAACAGAGCATTTAATTTATTTGTGAAGTCTTTGGAATGTGTTTGAGAAATATATTGGAGAACATACATGTAGTGTGAATGTTTAAGAATTCAGTATATTGTAGCACGATATCTACATGGAGCCTTTTTGCAGATTGTGGAAAGAGCGAGGGCTATAAATGGAACTCTAGTTAAAATAATTTATTTGATGAAACTGGTCAAACGTTTCTCTATTAGATATAAGAAAAATATCAAGGTTTCTGTCTATCACTAGACTTACTCTAGTAGAGTGCCTATTACATTGAGGAAATCTGAGATAGAATATATCCTAAGCAGAGCTTTTGGTAACAGGAACACATCTTCCCTCCTCTCTTTTAAGATAAATTTAGAATGGAGGGCCCTCATTCCTAGATAGGAAATTGTTTCCAAACATTAGTGATTAGCTTAGGCCCTACATGTTGCCAGCAGATGGCAGTGTGAGTTCATTGGCGACAGAATGGTCCAGGACGTGGGGGAGGGAATGGAATCAAATACTATTAGGCAGCCATCTTGTCAATTTATCTTGCCTTTTCCTTTGACTTTTGCCCTGGAACAACCCTTCCTTCACATACATCACAGAAGAAAGCCTCTGAGCTGAATTTAAGTGTAAGGGCATTCTCAATTTGAATTGAAATTTCCTGACACTGTGATCTCACTTGGCACTCATTTCTGAATTTGACATATAGATGGGTGCAATGGTCATTTACTCTTTGCTCTTAAGTGGATGTGGTAGGAAATAAAAATTTCTATCAAGTGGAGAACTTTCCCATCAGTTTCTGCCTAGGTCACCTCCTATGAGTTTATTCTACTCTCTGGTGTTGTATGGTGAAGTTCACAAGTAATTGTTGGCTCTGACTTCAGTTTCTGGATGAAACATGACCTTCTCTAACCTACAAGAGTTAAAAGGCTGAAGCAGCCACACTCTCCTGTCTCATTTCATTTCCCTGCTCCCTGGTGGCGGTGGGGTAAGTCACAACTCTAGATGAAAGCCATCTGCTGTTAGGGCTCTGCAGGTAGCATCTTATAGTGGAATGGTAGAAAAGGGCTTTACGAGGCATCGGATCTGCTTACTCTGTAAACATATAAATGAAGTTTAATTTCTCTGAGCCGGATTCATTCCCTCATCTGTGAAAATGAGGATGACATCTCCTACCTCACAGGGTTGTTGTGAGGCCCTGAGAGGGGACTTGAACTCAGCTGTGCCTGGCAAATAGACATTAAATAAATATTGGGTTCTTTTCCCTTTCCCGTTCCTCCTCCCTCCATATTGACAAGGAAAAGCACTCTCTTGTTAAAAGTCGGAGATGAGTAAGACTTTTCAAGCTTTGAAGGTGATGATCAGATGGTGGTTCAAATTGGTAAGGTGACAAACAAGAAGAACCCCCCAGCCCTCCCAATGAAAGGCTCATACCCAGACAGACCTTTCTCGTGGGACCTTAAGGTTTAGAGTCCATTAGGGAAATGATGTTGAATAGCACAAAAAGACTTGGAGGGCATTTACTGAAAGTAAATGCAGAAAGTTGTTGACTTTAAAAAAAAAAGATCATTTAGAGTCACCTTGATGGGAACACTCATGTTAAGCGTTTAAAAGGCTACTGGCCTGGGATTCTCCTGGGGAGTAGGAGAGTTATTTATTTTTTCAGATCGGAGCAGAAATTTGTGCCACAACTTTTCTTTTTTGTGTGGCTCCAAAAGAGGATTTTTTTTTCTTGACTTTTTGGGTCACACCCAGCGACGCTCAAGGGCCACTCCTGGCTCTGCACTCAGCAATTACTCCTGCCGGTGCTCGGGGGACCACCTGGGATGCCAGGGATCGAACTTGGGTCAGCCGCGTGTTAAGGCAAACGCCCTGCCCGCTGTACCATCGCTCGGGCCCCCAAAGAGGGCATTGTGGATTCACAGGAACGTCGGTCTCGGGGTGTGGGCCGAGCTCGATTCACCTGGGCAAAACCCTACACCGCAGGCTGACCAGAGGGGACCGCAAGTGGCGCTGGGCGGCGCTGGGTGTTCCAAGGGAACCGCCGGCTCCCCCCTCAGGTCGGAAGCGCCTCTGTGGGCGATCCTCGCCTGTTCAGGAGTTGGGCAACTTCCAGAGCCCCGACAACACCCGTCCGTCCCGGGGTGGCATCAGGACCACCCTTTGGGCGCAGGAGGCCCTGGGTCGGCGGCGCGGGCAGAAAAGGAAGGTCGGGCCGGTTCTCCTCTCACAGTGCTCCCGGCTGGTCCCCAACCCGAAGGCTCGGCCGAGACGACTCCGGGGAAAACGTCCCCCCCCTCGGGACAGGAGCCGGGAAGTTTCTCCGAGGGAGGGCGAAGGGACTTTCTGGTCGGCTGGAAACTGCCGGCAGATTCCCGCGCGGGGAGTGACGCTTTGAGGGAATCCCCGATTCCTCGCGGTCCACCAAAGCCGGCCGTGGGCCTTCGGGGAAGCGCGCCTCGAACCCACGCCGCCAGTCGCCCGCCTCCCCGCGTTCCCGCCACTAAGGCGGCGAGCGAGGGCGAGGCAGAGGCGGCGGCGACCCCAGCCCGCCGCCCCGCCGCACCGCCAGGCGCCGTCGACACCCAGCGGCCGCGCTCCGGGACTTCCGCTTCCGCCCGCGGCCCCGCCCACTCCCCGCCCCCGCCCTCCGCCTCGGCGAGAGAGGGGCCAGCCGCTGCGGCGGCGAGGCGTTTCCGGAAGTGTCGTGCGCCGGATATCCGGTTCCTCGGGGCGCCCGGGGAGCCGAGCCAGAGGCCGCCGCCCAAGCGTCGTCGCGGAGCCTGAAGCGCGTCGAGCGGCCGCGTCCGCGGGGTGTGGGCGAGCCCGGGCCCGGTCCCCTCTCTCGCCGCCGCCATGGGCTGCACGCTGAGCGCCGAGGACAAGGCGGCGGTGGAGCGGAGCAAGATGATCGACCGCAACCTGCGAGAGGACGGGGAGAAGGCGGCCAAGGAAGTGAAGCTGCTGCTGCTCGGTGAGGGGCTGGGGCGGGGCTGGCGGGGCGCCGCGGCCGGCCTGGGCTCCGGGGCGGCCGGAGCGCGGGCCCGGGCCGGAGGGACGCGGCGGGCTCCGGAGGGCGTGACGGGCGGGGGGCGGGGTGTCGGGCGGCGGCCGGCGCGCCGAGGGGGTGGGGCTGGGGGCGACCCCGGGGCCGGGCGAAGGGTCGCGGGAGGGAGCTGGCGGCGGGGACGGTTTGCTCGGGGCGCGCGGCCGTCCGTCGGTCCGTCCCTCCCTCCGTCCGCCCGCCCGCCCGCTCGCTCGCTCGCTCGCTCGCTCCGGGCGCGGAGCCCCGGCGAGGGGGGCGGGGGTCGAGTCGGCTGTCTGGCCGCGGCCCTGCCGTTGGCTTCCGAGGGGGCGTCCCGGGAGCCTGGGCGGCGGAGATTCCGAAGGAGACGTTTCCGGAGAGAAGGAAGGAGCCGGGGTGCAGAGATTGTCGATTTGATTCTGTGTGTGTGTGTGTGGGTGGGTGGGTTTTTTCCCCCCAACTTTTTTGGGCCACGCCCCGCAGGGTTCGGGGGGCGTGTTCCGGTTCCGCGCTCGGGGCGTCCCTCGCCGCGGGGCTCGCGGGAGACCGCCTTGACCCCGGGCCGGCCACGTGCGCGGCCAGCCCCGCCGAGCTAGGGCTCCCGCCCCTCCTGCCCGCCTCGGTGTCCGTTCCCGCACGGGGCTTGGCGCTCCCTTCCTGGTTCGCGTTCACCAAGGGGGAGAGACGCGGTGGCAGCCGCGGGAAGGCGAGGGTCGGCCCGCTGGGCTGGAGGCAGGAGCGGCAGCTGGCTGTCGTCAGTCGCCGGGGGTTGCCGGGACGGCCCGGGCGCGGGGATTGCGTGGGAACCGAGCTGGCCCGGGGCAGACCAGGGAGTTGGGCGTGTCCGCCCGGTCGCGGTGGCCGCTGGCGGGTCGCTCCCTTCGGCCCCTTCCTTCCAAAGGACAGCGGTTGGCTTTCCGATACTCCTTTGAATGGGACTGCTTATCTACAGTCGATACGTTTTTTCCCAGCGGGAGCAGTTTGAAATTTTTTTGAGACTCAGTAAAATGGTATTTCCAAGGCATTCCCTTATGAATAAGGCAAGCCACAGGGCTCCCACTATTGTGGGTTTTTCTAGGAACCTTTTAGGAAATAGTGAAGAGGGGTAATGGTTTCTGTAAGCTAAGGAACTTTTCAAGGCCATTGATTTTTGAGAAAAAGAAGTTGCTTTGAGGAAAGTGACCTAATCGATAACCCCAGGCTTCAGAGGAGGACAGGAAAATGCATCATGGTTATGATCCAGGCTACTTGTGGATGTACTGCTCACCCTCTGCTAGTCTTTTCCGGTTAACATGCTTGCTTGTTTGTAGCTTGGACTGTGTTGCCTTGGCAACTGGATAGAGGGGAAGTTAAAGTTATCACTAGAGACTGGCGTGTAAGCTTTCAGCTTGAATACTTGATCTTTTCAGGAGGCATCAGTTCAACCTGCAGGTCCGAGCTGCCTCTCCATAGCAGGAAAGGAGACCTGGGCCTATACTTGGTGTTCCTGAAAAATTTGCTGTAAATGAGCTTGAGCCAGCTAATGTTTGACATGATCTTGGTGCTTTTTAGAGTCCACTGTCAACCACAACACTCTGGCAGTAGCATTTTTTTCATTGATTATAAAAGTTAAAATGTATCTTACCTTTGGTGAATGTTTCTATTAATTTTGATCAGAGAGATTCCCTTAGGACATTAGCTTATTGTAGTAGTACAGTTGTAAATTCTGAAGCTTTCTTCCAAATGGCAGGATTTGGCCGCAGAACTGGTTGAAATGACTAGAAAAATCTTTACTCGGGATTTTATAAATAGTGCCTTTAATTAAAACAATTTAAACATGATGACTTAGGAAACATGAAAAGCTTTCTTTAAAAATCAAAGTACTAAAACATTTGCTTTTGATTTGTCAATTTCATTCCTTTTTTTAAAAAAAATCTATATTTGTAAGCAAGTTCAACTGACCAAATTAAAATAACTTGCACAGATACTCTTGCTTGAACTATATTATAGTATGTGTGTGTGAAATCATCGTACTTGCTGTTTATACGCAGAAAATGCCTCATTGATGTAGTCATGTGTCACAGATTATATTCTAAGAAACCTGTTATTAGGCAATTGTGGTGGTTGTATGAAAGTCCCAGAGTGTCATCACACAGACCTGCATGATCCAGCCTACACTAGACCTCAGCTTTGTGGTGTAGCCAGTTGGGGCCACCTCCTGTATCCTCCCTGTTGACTAAAAGGGCAACAATTGTTGCAGGACTATAGAACCAAGTCATTTTCACTTTGTAACTGTGAGACTGTTGAACTTGATTTAAGCTGAGGTCTATCTACTTATCTATCCCCCTTTCTCCTGGTGTATGATAGGTGTTCATAAAATTTTATCATATTAACACAGTGATTCACAATGTAGACTCAGAAATCAGACTTTCAATTCCCATTTGCCTTCTGGAATTAACCTTTATGAAGTTATTTCCTTAATTCCTCTCTGCCTCAGTTTCTTCCATCCTCAAAATGGAAAAGAATAGAGGTACTTCATAAGCATGGGTGTAAGGATTAAATATGATAATAAAAAATAAAACATTCTGTCAAAGATTTTTAACTGATTATTAGCAAATTGTTACTAAATGAAAAATAAATGTTACAGATTTGGGTGCTATAAGAAGTTAGTATGGGCTTGAAATAGTTAAGAAGAGTGTGAATTTCAGTTTTTTGGTTATTATTGCTTTGAATTTCTTTTAGATGTGTTGCTAGGGAAATCTGGATGTGCCAAATTCATGGAGAATTATAATATATCATAGAAAGGCAAAGGTATGTTATGCAGTGTTTCCTGGCCAGAGTGGTGTATAGATAGGTATGCGATTTTTTTGTAATTTTGAAACTTTAGTTTGACTGTTCACATTTAAGTATCTGCATATTGCTGACTACATACTATAATTTATACTATATACCATATATAGTATAAATATATATTATAAATGTACTATCATTTTAATCTTCCCACATGATATTCTTTTTTGTGTTTATGTTGCTTTTTTTAGGCCATACCCAGATGTACTGATCAGGAAGGTCCATGTGGTATGAGAACTTGAACCTGAGCCTCTGGCATATAAAGCATGCATTCTTTGCCCTTTGAGTTATTTTCCTGGCCCTGTGATATTCTTCACAATGTTTTCCATTTGGAGGATATATATGATTCATTGTTAAATATTTTCTGAGGACCCATGTGTGCAAAACTGTGCATATGGGAGGTGAATATGCAGAGTTTTTGAATCAGCAATAGAGGGAAAGAAACCTTGCCCTTTGGGCTGTGAAAAGCCTGCATGCAGTTCCAGCCTTTTACTTCACAGGCCCCTGCTGCCCCCGGTGTGGGAAAGCCCAGGTTAGTCACCCACTGTGATTTTGAAACCTTGGACCGAGTGACCCATCTAAACACAAATTATTGGATAAGTGTTGTCTCTTTTTTTTTTTTTTTAGATTTACAATTTTTTGTGCTTGGGTTTGATTATACAATGATACCCATCCCTCCACCAGTGCCCATTTTCCACCACCATGGATAATATCCCCCCCACCCCCATCCCCCATCCCCCCTGCCTCTGTGGCAGGGCAATCCCCTGTGTTCTCTCTCTCCTTAAGTGTTATCTCTTAATTCATATATTTTTATGCCTAGGATGGTTCCTGCCTCAGAGAGAACAATCTCGAATTCAAAACACTCACTTTCTTGTTATGCTGTATGTTAGGAATTGTCATATGTCCATCTGAGAGGAATGACTTGACCACATTTTTTTCCTCTTTTTAAGAGTATACTGCCTGTACCAGGCAGCTGCGTTCGTGTAAACTTGATTCGGTGCTGGGGCAGATGGGAATGCTGCTAATCAGAACGTTCTGTGAATTCCTTTTTCCTGGCAGCCCTCAGCTTTAAACTTTGAAAAACAGTTTTCTTCCTTCGAGCAGCAGTATTATTTTAATCAGCGTATCTTTACATGAGTAAAAAGTAAAGAAAAAGAACATGAAAAGTAGAAACTGGAGCCTGGGAGATGGTTAAGTGTTCCAGGGTGCAGGATTTGCATGCTTGGGACCCTCCTGGTTCAAGTAGCCTCACCATATGCCCCTAAATCCCCAAGTAACTCTGGGTGTGATCCAGGTGGTTTTTGTCACTACAATGCTAGAGGGGCTCTGGCATTGAATGGTCTGGCTGAATGTTGCCAGGAATATGCCCCAACCATCCTAGACACTGCCTGGGAGCCGCCTCCTTCCATCCCTCCCCACACTTAAAAAATTGAAAATTGAAAAGAAATTGAAATTGTCAGAGCCGGAACTATAGTACAACAAGTAGGGAAGTTATCTTGCACATGGTCAACCCAGGTTTGATTCCTGGCATTACTCTGGTCCCCTGAGCACCACCAGGAATGAGCAATCCCTGAGCACAGGGCAAGGTAGTAAATTCTTGAGTATTGTTGGATATGGTCCTCCGCAAAAGAAAGAAATTGAGGGTCTGGAGAGCCTGGTAGGGTGCTTGTTTTGGACGCAGCTGACCTGGGCCCAATCCCCAGCATCCCATCTGGTCTCCCGAGCACCACCAGGAGTAATTTCTGAGTGCAGAGCTAGGAGTAATTTCTGAGCATGGCTAGGTGTGAAATGAAAACCAAAAAAAAAAAAAAAGGAAAAGGAGAAGTAATTGACATTGCCAAATAGATTTTTTACAGGCACTTACTATTCTTTGTGTCTTTTCAATTTTTCTGTTTTGTTTTGGGAACACGCCTCTTGATGTTCAAGAGGTGACTCCTGGCTCATTCTCAGGCTTGACCCTGGCAGACTTGGGTGCCAATAATTAAGCCCAGATCAGTCACGTGCAAGGCAGGCACCCAACTCACTGTGCCCTACCCGCTATACTATCACTCTGGCCCCTCTTTTCAAACTTGAATGCATTCACCACTTTTGCAGTCAGAAAATCTGATCCTTTTCAGGAG